TTACAGATAAAATAACAAAATTGGAAACTTGCGTAATTATAACACATGTGCATCAGTTGTCCAAATCCCGTTGGATTTTTCAAGTTTAATCAGTTATTTTGTTTGGGCCAATATCACATATTTAAAAGATACCTTACCCAAGTTCTGTTACTGCGCGCGTTTTATGGAGATCATTAAATCCTTGCATCGCCATATTATAAACACAGAGAAATTTCCATAAAATACACACAAAACAGGCTCTACTTCAATACGTAAAGAAAAATTACGTGATTTCCGTGCAAAAGCGGGACGATTGCATTATTCCCGAGTAAAACGGCCGAATGTTCGCACTCTGTCATATATATACAAAAACTTAGGTAAAATTATAACATTGCGTACACAACACAGTATTTTCTTAAAGGCACATAGTGACTCAAAAACGATTTTCTTCCGGATTTAGAAATATTCAAATAACGGCCCTCGAGCATGATCGAGGCTTCTTACCCTCACAGAATGTGGAATTATTTGCCATTAAACAGGCCCGTCGTCACGATTTTGTGATTGGTGCGGCCAATTTGGTATGTTTTAGCCAGAATCTAGGGGGGTACGGGGGCATGCTCCCCCGGAAAAGTTTTTATTCTAGGATGCTCTCAGGGCCGTTTTCCCGTATATTTGGCACAGTTTACAGTCTGCCGTTAGTACAAGTTATAGTATTATGTCAGCGATTTTTTACAGATTTTAGTGCGTCATATGTTTTAAGGGTGTACTGTAAGGTTTATAAACAATAACTAATGTTGTTATAATTCTTTAGAAGCATTTTTATCTGATAATTATAAATAAACAAATACAAGAAATATTACAGTATGTGGATTATTGTTTAACATTAATCACACAATGGTATAAGCTTAAATAGCAATCGATGCCATGATGGAAGAATAATACATTACAAGTCAACAATAACCGCTTTTTGTTTAGCAGTAACTTGTATATTGCTCACAATAATCTTGCAAAAATCAGAGTCTCATTTTATGTAAATTTTCCAAAAACACATCGCCGTCGTTCTCTGGTGGTAATGAACTCATCGGCAATTACACGCCAGTTGAGTGAATCTGTCCATGTAGCACCATTAGATTGTTCAAACGTACTTGAGACATTGACTATCTCAGGTATGTTCTATATTCTTCTGAGCGCCGAGAATGTGCTTTCACTGGTAGCATTAGTAGCAGGCATTACTAACAAAATATTTAACAACACAACGACCTTAGAGAAGAGTGCTCATTCTAGCACCGACTGTACTGAAACAAATTTCAAAGCGTCAGGTAGAGTAACAGTACTATTTCCTGTTTTTGTCAAAATGTGAACGTAGCAGCTGAAGCTGCACCTCTAAGAGGTCTCGTTTAATATCGTTGCCATCACAAACAAAACCAAGTTTTCTAGTGTACTCGGTCTTCAAAGGTTGTGCGGCCTTAATGAGTAAATCCTCCACGTTCTGAAGTACGCGATATCCCGGTTGGTCAAATTTGGTTCCGATAGAATTGTGTCACACATCATGGTATTTTAACTATCTTAAACTTTTCATATTAAGATACTTGTATGTGAACAGATGTAATTAATTTAAAGAATTGTAAACATATATATGTGTGTATTCAGGATTACTCCTATTATATACGGTGAACTGTCCGAAGCTACGTCGATGTCTTGACTTCGTAGGACCCTTACATATACCTGGTCAATTAACAGTGTCCAGTTGTTTCTTCGCGTCATGTTTGTATGTTACCGCGCATTGAATAAGGGGCCAGTTAAGTGTCTAATTGCTAATCAGCGATGCGTGTTTTTTTTTCTTTGTTTTTTTTTTTAAACTCATTTTTGGCCAAAATATTGGTCCGGCCAGGGCCGGACCGGCCGGACCATCGACGACGGCCTTGTTAAAGAAGGAAAATGTAAACAAAGCAGGAGTTTGACTTCCATACAAACATTTCTGTAAGTGTACTTATTCCAAGATTAAGGTTTTGAGTATTCATTCGTTGATGTATGATTATATTCCTTTGTATTTTTATTTATGAAAAATCACCAACATATTGCATTCCTTCACCCCCATAAAAAAAAAAAAAAGTTTATGTATAGATAGACAACTTCACGAGATATCCGACTATGTGAAAACTCGGGTAAAAGTCGACCTACCTACATGTTTAATCAAATTTTGATTAGAAGAAAAACAATGATTAAATGAAACGATCAAGGGTAAGACGACCGTTATATATATTACTCCAGTAATTTCGTCATTTGAGCCGCGTCACGACAAAACCAACATAATTGGTTTGCGACCAGCATGGATCCAGACTAGACTGAGCATCCGCGCAGTCTGATCAGAATCCATGCTGTTCGCTTACAAACCCTATAACAAGAAGTGAAACTGATAGCGAACAGCATGGATCCTGATCAGACTGCGCGGATGCGCAGGCTAGTCTGGATCCATGCTGGTCGAAAACGCACTATGTTGGTTTTGTCGTGACGCGGCTCATTTATTAATTGTAACAAAACCTGTTCATTTGTTATTAACTGGGATGTTTAATTACTAATAACAACCGTTCATGTGATGGATTGAACGCAGACAGATACCATTTTATGGTGCAATGATTGGGATTTTGATCCGATCTGACTTTTTAAGTATTCTGATGAATAGCGGTTCATCCAAAATAACAAACAACAACAACAAAACGGCAATTAGATGTGGACTATTAGCATTAAAAATAATTGGTTAGGTGACTGTGATATTCAACACCCAATAAATGTTATAATTTTAATTCTAAAAAGATAAATTGGTGTACACTTCTAGTTTCCGAACTCGTTCACTGGCCATATAGTTGAATCGTCTTTCTTCTGCAGCTGCTGCTGCCTAGCCGTTGATATATGAGCCGCGTCACGACAAAACCAACTTAATGGGTTTGCGACCAGCATGGATCCAGACCAGCCTGCGCATCCGCGCAGTCTGATCAGGATCCATGCTGTTCGCTTACAAACCCTATAACAAGTAGATAAACTGATAGTGAACTGAATGGATCCTGACCAGACTGCGCGGTACGCAGGCTGGTCTGGATCAATGCTGGTCGCAAACCCATTATGTTGGTCACCAGGATCCATGCTGTTCGCTATCAGTTTCTCTATTTGTAATAGAGTTGGTAAGCGAACAGCATGGATCCTGATCAGACTGCGCGGAGACGCAGGCTGGTCTGGATCCATGCTGGTCGCAAACCCACTATGTTGGTTTTGTCGTGACGCGGCTCAATTATGTACAAATAATCGTATTTATGTCTGAGGCTTTATGTGCCTTTAACCGATTTTTTATTAATTTTACGCCTGCTGCCTACGCACGATTTTCTCGTTTAGAATGAAGCGGGAAAATCGTGCAATTAAAAAAAAAAAAGATAGTAGAAATGCTGCAATGTAATCGGTCAATATGGTAATACCCGTTGTCCATTTGTATACACAGGTGGCAGTATCAGTGTTTGGACACCCCACCCCTATCTGCCCCTGGGCCCTACTACAACCCTGAAAAAAAATTCAACACTCTAAGGCTTACTATAAGGTACCAAATACAAAACCACCCATGAAATTTTATATAAAAATTTTTTTTCCACTATCAAAATTATAGTTATAGACTATAATTTTGATAGTGGAAAAAAAATTTATATATCCAAACACTGATACTGCCACCTGTGTTAGTATAGTTAGTAGTGGAGCGTTGGACCCCAGTTTAATGCACAACATAGAATTCAAAAATAAAGTAGATTTTCTATACTAATTTGAAATTGAAAAGGCTAAATATGGAAGTTTTTAAGATATCCCGACAAAGTATGGGAGTTTCATAGGATCAAATTCATGTACTATTTCTTGGGCTGTTATTCGGTTGGGGACACTTGTGCGATTGTAGCCGACGAAATCCCCCATTTGAAGATGACATAGCTCTGAACGCACCTGAGAGCACGTCCGTCGCAAAAATGTTACAAGATTTAACAAAAAAAAAGTATGCCCCTTGTCTAACAAGTGTGCCTTGTCATAATTTACAAGTGTTCCAAGTTAGTACTTTTCATAGTTGTACCCTCATTTTACCAAATAAGCAATTTTGACAAAAAAAGTTAAAAAGGGGCGTAACTCCGAACATATAACTTTCAGAATTATGCTCCTTGTTTTACAACCGCATCTTGTAATAATAATCAGGTATTTCATGTTTCGTGGTGAAAACTTGTTTGAATCATTGCTACGTTTAAGTTTTTGCACGACCACGACGATGCCCGTCTTTTCCAACTTTACCGTAAAAAACAACTTGCAATTTGAAATAAGGTCGTTAAAAACTCTTGAAGTGTGTATAAATAGTTATAAAGCTATAGTTAATTGACTTTTTATCACGAAGTGGCTAATGTAATTGAAAAAAAAACGTTTCCTAAATTGGAACCTGATGCTTGATTCAATCAATTTTCATGTTAAATTACATTGGCAGTGCCCTGTCCTGTTTGGCGTCCTGTTAGGGTCCTTGCCGGTGATTCTGTGCTGGCGATGCGTTCATTGAATGCTGTCCTTCCTTGTTGATCTTGTTGTTCTTATTTATGTAATGGTAGGACAATGCAAATCAGTTGAAATGTTTAATTTGTAATACTTATTTATGCCTTTTACGTCTCCAACAGAACTGCAGATGGGCCTTCGTGGTGCAGTGTTTAAATGTGTTGTGCATTAAAATCCCGTTAGAACCTTTGATTCTTTCATGTAAGGAAGCTATCTGGCCTAGCGTACAGAAGTTCGGTGGTTCTGCTCAGGTGCCCGTTTGTGCCTGAAAACATGCATGGGGCACCAGAGGTCTTCCTCCACCTGTAAAGTTACAAAGTTGCCATGTTTCCTGGTCGCAAACCCATTATGTTGGTTTTGTCGTGACGCAGCTCAAATGGATACAAATAAACAAACAATAAATATCATAGACATTGATGAGACGTTTTATTAACTAGTTAAATATCATGTCAATATGGCATTAATATACAAATGTATGAAACAATGACATCTGTTTGGATCGTGATACAAACACAAATAAACAGTGAACACAGAAAAAAAATTAAACACGTTTATCAGGACACTACTTTGTAAAACTGTCCACCTATGTAACGTAAATAATGCACCTTAATTACACATATTGTTCGCTGTTTAGTATATACCGACAGTAAAAAACCAGTGAACACGGTAAAAATAAAACTGTGCACATGTAACTTGTCGTCTAATGTAACGTAAATAATGTACCTTTATTACACAACTGTTCACTGTTCAGTATAAATCGTCAGTCAAAAAAACAGTGAACAAGGTAAAAATAAAACTGTGCACATGTATTTTGTCATCCAGTATAATTTAATCAATATGCACCTTATACCTGGTTCACTGTTTTGTGTACATGTATATATATTGACAGTAAAAAAGTAAACAGTTACACAAACATACTTTTCTAACAGAAACAGTGAAGTATTGCAATGCAATGTATTTTTTATTTTTTCGTACAAAGTTGAAGTCAATGCAATGTAACAATACTACAATACCAGGTAAGTTTCAATTTGAATTATTGTTATTTAAAAATATTTGAATTAAATTGTTTAAAAACCTGTATATATATGATATATTCAAGTGCTTTATAGGGAAAAAAAACAAATTTGCACCAAATCTTATTAAATCTTATTTTATGTTTTTTAAGTATTTTTGTAATTGTTACTCCGCAGATACATGTATCAAGTAAAAATCGACAGATAAAGTGAATATTTATCTCATTTCTCCCCCTCCACAAAGAATATGCTTGTTATCTACATTTATCTATTATATCCAAACTTTGAAGTGTATGCCAAATATTATCAATTAAAAAAAATCACAAAATACAGGAATTTGAACTTCATACATGTACATGTATGCAACTTCATACATGTACATGTATGCGTACAGTAAATTGCAAAATGTGTTTATATCTAAAGATAGTAACCAATATTGTTAGGAAGTTGAACTCTTGATCGAAGGTAAAATTGCATTACAAGGCCAACTGCAATCAATTTTAAAAAGAACTCTGGTTGGCCAAATTCAAGATCCACTTTAAGACTGGTTGCCAAATCCTAAAATTGTTTTTTCAACTTTTGTATGACCTTGAACTGATGCTTTTATCAGCGGATAAAATTTTCCCTGTTTACTACCTTGTATTTTCTATATAAATAAAATATGCCCTATAACAAGAGACTATTCTGTACAAAGAAAAAAAATACAAATAAAATAATAAAAATTGTCAAATTTTTACTTTCTGTACATGTGTATTATAAAATATATCTACCTGTACACGATGTAACCTTGACATCCGGCTAGCGCACTGAACCCTACATACGAAATGCAGAAAACAGTAACAATAGCCTTATGCTGAGGTCACAATTTATAGATCTAAAAATAGAAAAATATGGACTCTTATACAATGAAGCATTATGGTGTATCTAGATAATGACCAAGTCAATAAGTATGAAGGTATTTTATAATTTGTATACTATATAAACTGTTCATAACAGATTTTAATTTTTTTTTATTGAAAAAAAAGAAGCTAAAAATAAAATGAGCTTTTGAAGCATTTTCATTATACATCTTGAATATATAATATTTGAGCCGCGCCACGACAAAACCAACATAATGGGTTGACACGGCTCATTTACTTTTGTAGCCTAAGTCTGAGGCAAAAAAAAAAATAAAACATCATAAAGATTAAAGAGCTATAATATAGTACATCATTTAATATATTTAAATTTAAACCAATTTAAAGGGACACAAATAGTAAGAAAGAAATTGTCAATCAAACTTGAATGTCTGAAATTACAAATACTGAAGGAAGAAGCATGAATAAATACCAGGATTTCAACATGTTTCCCATTTTGTACCCTTGAGAGAAAATATTTTTGTTCAAAAACAATAAATTTCCATGCTTCATGTATAATTCCTAAACCTACTCACCTCCAGCTTTTTTAAACTAATTTTTGGAGAAATAAGATATCAAAATAAATAAAAATATATAATCATAGATTTTGATTGAAATTAGCATTTACCTAGAGGTGTGCAGGATTAAAGTTGTTCATTTTGGCTTAATTATTGCAAAAATGATATATGAAAACAAATTTGATCTCAGAAAATTTTGTATAAAAAGGGGGCATAAAATACAATGTAAATGCATTGTTTTGGCAAATTAAAAAATGTGTTGGCAGTAACTGTACATTATGCAGAAATACAAAAATTTAATTCTTGAATTATGAAGCTGGCTTTTGCATAAAAAATGCCTTTGTCACTCTCAGGCTATGAAGCTCTACCCTAGAACTTTAAAGCTACCCTTTCACTTAGTTTTATCCCATTTGAAAAAAAAAATTCTAAATAATAGCATACATTTTAAATAACATTTTATCAATTTACATATTAAAGCTGAATACACATAATTGTTTGGAAGTCTTTGAAAAAAGAAACCCAAGAGAAAGGTAAGAATAAGATCTTTTTCTATTTTTTTGCAGCTTGAAATTTTCTAAATGTGAAATGGGCAGCTTTAAATCAGATATATTGATAAAATCTACATCTCTGTTTAAATCAATATATTCTATCCATTGATGCAACAAAAAAAATCTTTTTAAAGCAAATAAAATTTAACATCATTTTCATACAAGCTAGTTTCATATCTGGTTATCTCCCTTTATTTAAACTCTATGCGCATCTTAATGTTTTAATTTGCTTAATTAAACCTTTATTTACAAAAAAACGCAAAAAGTATCACTCAAATGTAGCTGTCAATAAAAATTTGATTTTGTGGTCAAAAAATGAAAAATCTATTGAATTGTTGATTTTTGTATAAAAAAGCATTTAAATGTTTCCCTGATTTTTTTTTTAATCTTTTTTTTTCTAAAATTTAATAGAGGCTATGAGACCATAGAGTTACATCCCTTGATTTGTTTTAAAGTACAGTAAATCAAATATACATTATATTCTACAGTTTATTGTACAATTTTTATACATCATGCAAGTTTTGGACCCATGGAATCATCGCTCCAACTTTGCGATGACAAATATAATACCATCACAATGACCTTTGACCTTTAGAATGACCTCTGAGAATTGAACAATGTCTTATGAATATGATAATAATGTAAAATGAATATTGATAACAGAAGGCAATGACATTGACCTTTATAATGACCTAGGAGAAGCCAGCAATGTCTTAAGATAATGATGTTATCTGAAGACTAATGACAATGACCTTGACCTTTAGAATAACCTCTGGGAAGAGAGCAATGTCTTAGGATAATAACATGAAATGAAGACTGATGAAAGGCATTGACCTTGACCTTTACAATGACCTCTGAGAAGGGATCAATGTCTTATGATGATAATGTAAAATGAAAATAATTACAGATGATATTATCTTTACCAAAATGACAAACATTTATATGAATGATGTTTGTCTAAATAAAGAAAACAGAAATGGTTGGAGATAGAAAAAAATGTTTTTTCTTTAGTCTTGATAAAATTATGATGATGATGATGATGATAATGATGATGATGATACTGAAGATGATGATCTTGATGATGATGTATTCATCGATGTTTACATGCTTTGAGATCAATGGGAATCTCATGTTTTAATACAAAGCAAATGTACAGCCTAACACAAAAAATAAGCACTTAAAAATTGTGTTGCACAGTAATATTAAAACAAACAAACAAAAATGTACATAAAAACATTGCAGATAATAAAATCTTCTCTAAATATCTTGAGTCAATGGTGGGATACAGAGAGTAAAAATACAATATACTTCCAATCTGTTTGTTTAAAAAATAGAAATTAGATAATAAAATATAAAAAAAATCTGTGCATTTACTGACCGTCTACAATGTACATATATATAGTTACATAATAAAAGCACTTTGAATTTTTTGTGTCCACTCCAGCTAATCTGTTAAGTGTCTTTTTAAATGCACTTTTAAGCCAATCAAGTTCAATAAATATCTAATGCCCATCAAATATGATGACATTTTTAAGTTTCATTAGTACTATATTTTTCACATTTCTTACACTATTTTTGTGAAAAATTTACATACCCTGTCTATACCTCCATTACACATTATAAAATGTTAATAATCTTTCTTTGTTATTACATGTACTTGTTTATCACTGAACACACAATCAAACTTTGGGATAAAAACAGTAGTTCCACATGAAGTCACCTCAGAAAATGTATAACATTTATTTTCACTTATATACCGAGTTCCCATATGTATTAACACATCACAGACACAGAATACTCTTGCACCAATATTGTTATGAAATTCATGAGCACAAAAAGTAGTCCCAACATGTAAAATGTTGACGATTAAATGAGTGCAACATACACTTATGTTCCCCTTTATCAAGGGAACTTTCATAACTTTTGTTCATTTGCAAATATTCCCTCAGAATGCCTTTGACTTTTTAATCAGATAAACACGGCATCATTTGAAACATGACTCCGTCCTTTCATTGGCTGTTGACCAATTGGAGGCACTGGACTTGAGATACCCTCTGACCAATCAGAATGTGCAGAATGTGGTGATGAGCTGGACCAATGGCCCGGTGAATCAGGCGATGGTGTAAGTATATTTTCTGGAAGTGCTGTAAGGCCTTGCGGTGGGGTGGCGTCTGATCCAAGATAACTATGTTGTGATGGAGGGGTGGGGTACTGTGAGACGTGCTGAATCTGCATCGGTGTGGTAACTTTTTGACGGTGATGATTATCATACATTATGGTATAAGGCTGCATGTTATGATGGGTGTTATCCATTGGATTTTGTGCTTGTTGATCAAATGGAAAATTGTCAATATGATAATGATGGGGACTTTTTTGTGGACGATTTCGTTGTGCTTGGTTTTGCATAGCTAAGTAATGAGGCGGTGATGTAGGGAGCATTTTTCCCTTCATTGGAGAGAGTTTACCGTCCATGCTCAATGGACTATTGTGAGATGGGTTACTGGAAGGGGGAGTTGGGATAGATGATGTCGCTAAGGGCGACTGTGACATCGGATGTTGTTGTTGATTTTGCATCCATTCATTATTCATCATCTCCATATTCCGATGATGTTGCTCCATTACAGAGTCATTTTTATAGTGATTAGACATAACACAATGGTCGTCCATATGACTTGGTATTTGTGCACAACTAACAGTCACTTCATCAAGTCCGTTCATTTGTGCACGCACCATACCCATCATTGATCCACAAACATTGTCATAAGTAGGCGGAGTCATATCCCGCGGGGATTCAACACCTGGCGAGCCCTCGCTATTTTGAATATGGCCATTTCTGGCTTTCGATTTTTTACTTTTACTCTTTTTAGCGGTAGGTTTATGTCCATCCGGAGAATAAGATAAGTGGTCCTTTAATTGTCCGTTATTTTTATTTCTCCTTTGTTTGCTTTTATTTTTATGTGGGTGCATAAATGCATGAAGTCCATTCGGAGAAGTTGGAAGTCCGTTATGTAATTGCAATGCGGTTGGTGAAGTAACGCGGTACTCATCTAACATATTAAGAATATCATGATGCATGCGCTCGGCAGCAATGTCTCGAGGTAGACGATCCATTTGGTCTGTGATTTCACGATTAGCATAGTGGTCCAACAAAATCTTCGCTGTTTCATAACTCCCTTCCTTCGCAGCCAGAAACAATGGAGTCTCATCCTACAAAATATATTTAAATTGTAATTATGTTACAATATCTCACATTTAAAATTATGCAATAGCATATATACCTTTTTTACATAAAACATAGCAACAAACCTTATACTTACAATTATACATGTACCTACCAAAAATTATCTTCATTCTTATTTCTATCAACAGTAAAGTTTGAAATATTCATATATTCATTTAAAAATCATATAAAAAAACAAAAACTCATAAAAATTCATGAACAAAAAGAACAATTCAGTGTGGGTTTTTTTGGACAACTTGCTTGAAAAACAGAAATCATTGAGCAAAATTATGTTGTTTTAAATGCCATGTGCTATCTGTCCTTCCAAAAACGTTTCATCATTGCAGTATTGTTTAATTCAGAATCCCTTATTTATTGTAAAGCAGAAACAGTGTGATCTCTTTTTAGATATTCTTTAGATATATTTTTAGCAATGTAAAATACCTTAACATCTTGGGCATCCCTGTTGGCACCATGTTGTAACAAGACGAGGGTTGCCTCGGCATTATTTACAGCTGCCGCCCAATGCAAAGCTGTCTTTCCATATTCATCCATGGCATTTATATCTGCCTCAGCATTTATCAATTCCTCTACCATGCCCTCTATAGCAAGACGTGCAGCAAGTATCATCGGGGTTGTACCATCGTGTGTCCTGGCATTCAGGTTGGTTGAACGATTTCTTAATAAAATCTGAAAGAAACAGAAAAATTGTTTGTCAAATCAGAACTGTAAACTTAAAATTATACTAGCAAATGACATAATTCAATATTTGTAAGGATATTTCAATTTGGAAAAGAAATTTTTGGAAATTGGAAGGAATTTTAGGTAAATGGACAATAATGTTTTAATTTAGCAAATGTGTCATATATTCAAACCATATATTAAATCAGTAATGAGGGAGAAATAATTAATTATCAGTGATGTTTACCTGGAAAACACCTTGAGCGTCTGAAGCTACTGCAGTATGGAGAGGAGTTCTTCCCCCTGCATCTTGGTTATTTGGATCTGCTCCAGCATCAAGCAATGCCTTGGCAGCGTCTGCTCGAGCGTAACGTGCGGCAAGGTGTAAAGAAGTTTCACCAGTTCTGTCTGTCTGAGCATTAATTGCTGCTCCCTGCATTAATAAGCTGCGTATGATTTCTGGAGAATTTTCACTAGACTCCTCGCTATCACCAGATGTAGTTGTACCGGAACCACTACTTTCATTATCACCTGTGTCGAGACCGACACCACGAATAGAAGCCAACATTAGCGGAGTAAAACCATCTGGCCCTCTCACATCTACATCTTTAGAGTCCATTTCATCACCAGTTGGTGGGGTAAGAGCCATTATTGAGGAGTTATTAGCAATGGCTGATTCAAAATGTTCGGTAGTTCTAGGTACATTTGCAGCTTCAAGGTGCTGTGTTGTCCATTGCCGTGTATCACAGGGGTCTGTCGTGGACTCACCACTCTGCTCAATCTGCATTACAGGGAATATAGATTATATGCCAACATATATCATTCTGATATAAACCTGGTCAGAAATGGTGATAAGATGACTACATAATTTGTAAATTTGGTAATACATGTACAAATAGTTTCATGGTTTATGTAATTTTTTTTTGTGTGATCTAACACATTTCAATGTTTGAATGCAAAATAAAGGTGGTTATGCCATCCCTTCAAAATATCAAACATTTTATGCACTATGTTTTGCATCTACTCCATGTTTACAAAGTGAATTATCTGTTAAGAAAAGTTTGGGATTCGGGAGGAAAATATTTTACCTTAATCTTTTTTGCAGGATGGTGCATATCCCAATCATCTAGTGTATTGTTATCATTACTGTCTACTTTATCCATAGAGCCCTTACCAATATGCCTGTAAAACAACAAATATTATAACTATCACTTTATTAATAAACTAGGCTTGTATATTTTTGCCATTTGAGATTATCAAAATCCTTCTCTTTTCAAAGGTGGGAGGAGTTAAATCACTTAATCTGTGTAGGAATTAAAGAACTTAATATTGAAAGAAGGAGGAGTTAAAAATATTTTTGTGAAAGATTCCATTGGAGATCAGATTTAAAGGTAGTTAAACAATAAATTAAAGACTGGCAATATTTTAACATACTTCATTTCCTCGCCTCCGTCGGGTCCATGTCGTTTTGAAGACCGAGCTGTGGCCCCGGCATCACTACCTCGACTAAAGAAACCCTCAGGGAACCAAGTTATGCCCCTTGCTCGTTTACGCCCTATCACAACTATGATAACCACTATAAGTATCATGACCGCACCCACGGCAAGTAATACCAGCATGACTGTTGAAACACCAACATTTTCACTACCAGGGTCAACATTTGTGCCTTCAGAATTAGCTGGAATGAAATACCGCAGATTTGAAAATGAGTTGTGAATAATACAAGATAAGTAAGTTTTCCTTAAAAGAAATGTTATAATGACAAATTATGACTCAAATTTACACAAGCAAAACCTTACTTTTTCACTTTCTATTTGGAAGGATTGTTTTATACAGACTTGTTAAGTCTATTGTTTAAATATGTATATGGATTCTTTAAGGATTCATGTGACCAAAACATAAATATTTTTTTAGCAAGTTGCCCTTTGACAGCGTATAAAATCTGGGTTGTGTTTCATGAAAACCCGGCCGACACAATTTTCGTTTCAAGGAAAATGTCCTAACCTATGACTGTTATATTAAGACTCTTAAATTTCTGAATAGTGATGCTAATGAGCAGTTACACATTGCAGATTGAAATATTTGCTTATATTATTTTGTAACTTTTCTCAGGAGAATGAATGAAAGATAAGCCTTAATCTTAAAACATGTATTAAAACCATCTTAAGTTAGTCCTATTGTATGTCATAAATCCTCGGACTTAAGATACACTTAGGACTTTCTATGAAACGCAACCCTGCTCAGGTTATGTAGGCAAGTCTGGCTGTATACTGACGGCATAGATCTCCGGTCAGCTTTGCTGGTGGTTAAAATAAATTACCTTTTACAATAGGGAGTGCTCCTTGCCATCCGTTATTGAGAGCTGCCGCCACAAATTCTGCAGCCGACTGGCAACTGTCAAAACATTCATGTAGCCCATACTTCAAACATGGCTGAATGTCAATCAGTAAATGTACTATAGTTCTGTAATGGAAATCAGATCAAACATTAATTTTATATTTGACAGGTATTTCATTATGATAAAATAAAGAACATTTTTTAAGTCTGTGCTTTATGCAGAATTCATAGAGGTAGCAGTTTGATGAATATTTTTTGATGTTTAACTTTTAGTCAAAGATTTTGTCTGTGATATGTGTACTCACAGTGTACAGACAATTTTCAATGTATTATATTTTTATCATACAATTTTCAGTAGGTGTTTAAATGTATTTTAAAGCAAAACATTATTTAATCTTATCTAAGAACAAGCAAGAAATCATACCCTTCAGGTTGAGACCCGCTGGATGAGGTTACACCTTGATTTAAGTCGCTTGTGCCCAATGCTCGTCTTAAACGACCTCCGCTTGTACTGTCATCCTTATTCCAAGGGTATACCATATCTTCACCTTTTTTGTCCTTCTTTATGTACAGAACCGCCCTTAGAAGTTTTCCTAGTTTACGTAAGAATTCGTTTGACATTTTGATGAATTCATCTGGCGGTACACCAACCACAATAAGGAGACTTCCGGTTGCTAGCTTCTCTTCGTCATGGTTACAATCAAGTCCATCCCAGTTACATGCAGCCGTGTCACATCCCGGGTTACATTCGCCATTGGCATACACAAGGCTACAGTACGTATCATAGTGAGGATTGCAGGCTCCGAGAGAACGCTCGCAGTCAAACCCGTCATACAGGCATTCCTCAGTATTGCACTGTGGATCACATTTGCTGTCGTTAAACACGTTATAGCAGAGTACGCCATCTCGAGGTTTGTCGCAGTTCTTCCAAGGTCGAGACTCGAAAGAACAGTCATATCCATCGTAGTCACATATTGGAATATTACACTCAAACTGGAAATATAATTATCATAAAATAATGAGAATAAAAACGTTCCTAATTTTTACTTCAATAATCCACTTACTTACATGTACTTTGAAATTACAAACAAGAGAGCCATGATGGCCCTGAGATCGCTCACCTGTATATAGGACTCCCCCCCCCCCCCCCCCCCCCCCCCCCCCCGCGGCAGGGCCAATTTTCACCAAAGGGCTTTTATTTGAACAAACTTGGTAGACATCCATAAGAAGATATTTCATGCTAAACATCTAAGCTCTAGCTCATTGGGTTTTTTAAAAGAAGATTTTTAAGTTTTTGCTATACACATATAAGGAAAATCAATGACACCCCTGGGGCGGGGCCAGTTTTGACCCCAGGGCTTTTATTTGAACAAACTTTGTAGACACTTACTTGAAGATGTTTCATGCTTAATATCTAAACTCTAGCTATTTGGGTTTTTTCAAAGAAGATTATTTAAGTTTTTACTATATGCATATAGGGAAAATCAATGACCCCCCGGGCCGGGGCCAATTTTGACCCCGGGGCTATTATTTGAACAAACTTTGTAGACACTCACTAAAAGATGTTTCATGCTTAATATCTAAACTCTAGCTATTTGGGCTTTTTCAAAGAAGATTATTTAAGTTTTTGCTATACACATATAAGGGGCGGGGCCAATTTTGACCTCAGGGCTTTTATTTGAACAAAATTGGTAGACATCCATTAGAAGATGTTTCATGCTGAATATCTTAGCTCTAGCTCTTTGAGTTCTTTAAAAGAAGATTTTTTAAGTTTTTACTATATGCATATAGGGAAAATCAATGACCCCCTGGGGCGGGGCCAATTTTGACCCCAGGGCTTTTATTTGAACAAACTTGGTAGACACTCATTAGAAGGGTTTCATGCTGAATATCTTAGCTCTAGCTCTTTGGGTTCTTTAAGAGAAGATTTTTTAAGTTTTTACTATATGCATATAGGGAAAATCAATGACCCCCTGGGGCGGGGCCAATTTTGACCCCAGGGCTTTTATTTGAACAAACTTGGTAGACACTCACTAGAAGATGTTTCATGCTGAATATCTTAGCTCTAGCTCTTTGGGTTCTTTAAAAGAAGAATTTTTAAGTTTTTACTATATGCATATAGGGAAAATCAATGACCCCCTGGGGCGGGGCCAATTTTGACCCCAGGGATTTTATTTGAACAAACTTGGTAGACATTCACTAGAAGATGTTTCATGCCAAATATCTAAGCTCTAGCTCTTAGGATTTTTTAAAAGAAGTTATTTAAAGTTTTTTCTTTCGGTTGCCATGGCAACCAGAGTTCTGCATGGAATTAAATTCTTTGAACAATTTTTAAAGGTGACCACTATAGGAACATTTCTGTGAAGTTTGGATGAAATTGGCTTAGTGGTTTATGAGGAGATGTCATTTAAAGTAAAAGTTTACGGACGACGGACGGACGGACGGACGACGGACGAAAAGCGATCACAAAAGCTCACCCTGTCACTTTGTGACAGGTGAGCTAAAAAAAATGTATAATACAGAACACACTTTAACTAAGGCTTACATGAAGTTGTTTCTTTCTAATTTACTTTCTGACATAAAATAACTATAACTTATGTTAGTGCAATTAAAAGGCAAGGATTTGTAAAAAGAAATTACAATCTTTAAAATATAATTGAAAGTATGGAAATCAAGAATTTTCTTTCTTAGATACTGTATCTTCTTCTTAAACATTTCTAAAAATTTCTATTTTCGCTATAAAAAACACTCACATCACATTTTCCATCCCCAGCTTTAGCCTCACAGTTATTGGCAACACACTGAGGTGGAAAAAATGGCTGAGATGGTGTGACCTTGGTCGGTTTACCTATACCGGCGGTAACAGCCTTGTCCATAAACTCGCAATGAACGCCTGTGAAGTATCGTGGACATAGACACTCGTAGTATCCTGAAATAATAATTCAAACAATTCCAGCATACAACATCAGGAAGAAATTATTTTTAATTTCCTTTAATAAGAACAAAGATCAGCAAGGCAAGAAAACGTTCATGGAAGACAGTCGACCTCCCCCCTCCCTCCCTCTCCATCCCCGGACACAACCCTGGTACACCAGCAGGGCAAAAATTGCTACATGTGTTTTACAGCTGCTGCATGTACAACCCTTTTTAAATCGATCAATAAACAATCAACTATAATTAACTTTAAATCGTAACATAAAAATGTTAGAATGTATTCTATACGTTATATATAAATGTATGTACATCGAAAATATTTCTTTAATATGAATTTTGCTAGAAAAAAGAGCTTATTTTACCTTTGTTATCCAGGCATTGTCCACCATTCTGACAAGGGCTCGATGAACATTCATTGATATTTTCATTACAAGTCGTTCCCGTCCATCCGTACGGACAGTTACATCTGTAAGTATTTCCAATGACCTCGCATTTCCCGCCATTTTGACATTCTATCTCGTCACATAGTGTGGCGATCTTCTCGCAGAAAGTACCAGTGAAGCCCTGAGAAATATGAGATATATCTATCAATTAAACCATGTTAACATTATTTGTCACCTTAGAGCAGTAACAGGTTATCTCCTATTAAATTATATATGGAGTTAATACATTACTGAACTAAGTTAACAAATACATGTAAAGGTACATGTAGTATTGAATATTACCTAACGGCAAAGCAGGTTAGAACTTTTTAAGAGTTATTTAAAGTTTATATTGGAATAAATCCCCAAAAAATAGATATGTTTATAAAATACTACATTGCTTAAAGTTATATTTTTTAGTCATTAGAATAATGAGTGAAATGATTTTATTTCCTACTACATGTATATCATTTTAGATAAAGCAGGTCCACACCATGTTTTTAACATAAATTTTCCCCACCTAATCTTTACACAGATTTACACTTACTAGTTTTTGAGAATGATACAATTTGAGTCTATATTTACCTTTGGACATCTGCAGGTAGGTCCGGCATCGGAGTTCATACAAAGACCATAATTTTTACATGGGCTATCTTCACAAAAGTTGATACGGGTCATACAGTGACGACCTGAAAATAGGTCACATTGTTCTTAAGTTCATAATACATAACCATATCTTAAATATAAATCTAAGTTTCACCCTCGTAATATCTATACATGTGTGTATACAAAGAGAACATATGTTCAACTTTATACAAAATGTACCTTAAAGAAAAGTGTTGCGATTTATTTTCCTGTCATCCACAATGATACAGAAATGTGAGACAATTACATGTATTATCCCCCTTTTAACATAATTTAAATTACATGTATTATCCCCCTTTAATCATAATTTAAATTACATGTATTATCCCCCTTTAATCATAATTTAAATTACATGTATTATCCCCCTTTAATCATAATTTAAATTACATGTATTATCCCCCTTTAATCATAATTTAAATTACCTGCATTATCCCCCTTTAATCATAATTTAAATTACCTGCATTATCCCCCTTTAATCATAATTTAAATTACATGTATTATCCCCCTTTAATCATAATTTAAATTACATGTATTATCCCCCTTTAATCATAATTTAAATTACATGTATTATCCCCCTTTAATCATAATTTAAATTACCTGCATTATCCCCCTTTAATCATAATATAAAATACATGTATTATCCCCCTTTAATCATAATTTAAATTACCTGCATTATGCCCCTTTAATCATAATATAAATTACATGTATTATCCCCCTTTAAACATAATTTAAATTACATGTATTATCCCCCTTTAAACATAATATAGATTACATGTATTATCCCCCTTTAAACATAATATAGATTACATGTATTATCCCCTTTTAAACATAATATAAATTACATGTATTATCCCCTTTTAAACATAATATAAATTACATGTATTATCCCCTTTTAAACATAATATAAATTACATGTATTATCCCCCTTTAAACATAATAAAAAAAAGTGATAAGACAAACATACCTGTATAGCCTTGCTTGCAATGGCATGTATAGTCATTTAAAAGTTGTTCACAGCTGAGTGTTCCGAGTGGATTACAGGGGTTAGACAGACACTCGTTTACATCGCCTTCGCAACGTTGACCTACATAACCCGCCGGACATCTGCATTCAAAACCACCGACCTGGTCAACACATTTCCCTCCATGATGACATGCACCTTCGTAACAATCATCGTGGTTAATATCGCATAAATAACCAGACGTCCCAGGTGGACATGAGCAGATGAATTTGCTGATCAGATCATGACATTTCCCGCCATTTGCACAAGGTTGGTTGGCACAGTCATTAATGTTGATCTCGCAGTTACGTCCCATGAACCCATGACTGCAGTTACATCTGTAGTCGTTACCTAGATTATGACATTGTGCGCCATTTTGACAAGGTACGGATCTACAATGGTCGTATATATTTTCACAATAACTACCATGGAAACCGTCACTGCAGACACAGCGATGAGTTCCAGCCTCATTATGACATGTACCGCCATTCTTACATAGAGCAGACACTGTTGTATCTAAAAATAAAACGAAAATGAAAGTAGAGAATCATGTAATATGGAAGCAGTCATTCGTTTAAAACCTAAGCTTAATTCATTTTAGAGAAATAAGATCAAATAACTAAACTGGATTTAAACATACACAAAAACTGAAATAAGTTTGGAATAAACTTGCACCGGTAATTTTAAAAAAAACCCAACTTACTTCTAAGTTGAGCAGCAACGGCACATGTAACCATCCTGACATCGCATACCTTTCCGGTATAACCTGGTGTACAGTCACACCTGTAGTTATTGGCAACCTGGGAACATCTACCGCCATTCAAACATATCTGAGTACTACAGTAATCAACGAAGCCCTGGTGAAATAATTAGACAACAAAAATTAATGAATTTTTAAACTGCGCATCAAAGAATGATATAAAAGTATCGAGTGATTTGCAAATTACCTTACAATGAAGTTACAGATACAAATTGTAAGATGATTTGATGCCAGTAAAGTTGCAAATAAAATACTTACTTAATTTTGATAACAAATTGTACAAAAATTAATCATTTAACAAAAATTGATGATATTATCATGTAAAGAAGATACCCCTCGAGCAAAACCATATACATTTATATCTGAGGCCAACAAAAATAAAGTAACAAAATTAAATACATAATAAACATTAATCATACCTCGCACATGGGTCCCTGGAATCCGATTGGACATTGACAGTAGTGTTGGCCATTGGGCATATTGATACAAGTTGCACCGTTCATACATTGATTCTCTTCACACGGGTTGATACGCGTTTCACAGTTACTTCCCTTGTATCCAGGCTGGCAGTCGCAATGATAGGAGTTGACTCGGTCAATACAAGTTCCGCCATTCAAGCATGAACTGAAATCAAAACATTTTCATAATTTTACAAACCTTTTTTTTAATCAGTTTTCTTGCTAAATGTAAAGTACTTTATGCTTTTTATTATTTTCAATAAAATTCTTTCTTTACCTTTTAAAACTACAATTATTCACAATGATTTAAATGCAAGCAAAATATTGTATCTGCCTATAACAGCAACAAAATTGCAGAAAGTGTTTAATTCCACCAAATCCATCAAAACATGTACACTATAAAATAAATAATACAATGACCAAAAAGTCATTTGTGTAAAAATATTTAACTTTATATGAAATATAGAAGTGGGTACAAGTTTTGCACGAGGGCCTTGGCCAAGGCCGTCACTGACTCATTCAATTAAGCTTTGACTTACTCATACATTTTTTTAATACACTATTTTTCTAAAAAAGAAGTTTTATTTGACAAATTGGTGTATAACTATTTAAAATAAATTGTTACATAAATTACTTAAATTACTTGTTAAATCAACAAACAAATATTTAATTTTGGTGACGAGATGTATAATTTAGGTGACGAGACGTAACAATACCTGTTTGTACAGTCGTTATCATTATTCCCGCAGTTAAAGCCGCTGAATCCAGGAAGACACGTACACGTGTACGAGTCGACGTAATCCTTACACTCTGCTCCGTTCCTACATGGCTGTGACAGGCATTCATCGATGTCGTACTCGCAATGTGACCCGTTAAATCCTTGTGGACAATCGCAAGTGTAACCACCTGTATCAACATAAACCAATTCATCTTTTACCTTTAGCAACCACTTTGTTTACTAATTCAAATTTTTCATTTTCTTAATATCCATCCTCATTTATATTTACATGAATACCAGTAGATCTATTTTTTTTTCTCTTCACAAGGGTGCTTATTTACATGTATATTTACACAAATTTATCGCTTCTTACCAAACCAGACAGTACCTGTTACCATTTTAAAAGCTTAATCATTATAAGTAATACAAAAATTTACAGAATGAAGTTATTCTTTAAAAAAAACTGAATTTATATCTTAAAAGGTAAGTTATGGCATACCCTATAAGTGAATATTTCGTGTTGAAAAAATAAGCCAATTAAAAATTCCAGACATTACGAGTGAAAAAATATTAGCAAATCCTGCAAGTGTAGAATTTAAAGACAGGTTGGTTGATATTTCAGCTAGACAAAAATTTTAGCGATTTTCGTCAATTTGTGAAATTCTCCAATTTATTTCCGCGTAGTTAACTTAACCACTTATACAGTATATTAATTTTTAAAAGGTATGCAATGGTATATAATTATAGTTAATAGGTGAGCTCAATTTTCAACTCTTATCTTGGAAAAACCAATATGCACTTTGGGCTTAATACTCTGAATCAGTTATTTCATAAATTTCAAGAATAATAATCAAGTTATCTGAAAATATATAGAAAAATATAAAACAAAAACAATTACCAATTTTGTCTTTGCAGATTCCTCCATTTTGGCAATGATTGGGATAGCAGTCATTAATGTCACTTTCACATTGAGCTCCTGTATACCCATTGTCACATTTACATCTGTACGAACCGTGTGTATTCTCACAAGTACCGTGTTTACACGGGCACGATCCACCGTACAGGCACTGGGCACACTCGTTTACATCTATCTCGCAATGCCGACCTGTCAAAAACAAAAACCAAATACGTCAGTGGTGAATCAGTGAAAAAAGTATAAAAATTAAATATTCAAAATGTTGGTCTCTTCTTATAGCATCATGTTTTACTTGTAGATTAACCTAACATGAAATACATAGATGTAAGCTTCATCACTGTCAAATTACACTTCTTAGTTTTAAAATAAAATAAATACAAATGATGTGCATTAAAAAATTCATTATAATATTACAATAACACTTCAGAAATTTAGTACTAAGTGTTGACAGCATAACTGTTGTAAGTCCTTCTTTATTTCATATAAGTAAATGCAGTTCTGCTGCGGTCAAATCTCAAAATTTATTATTTCATATGAACTGACCTTGGAACCCATAGCCCGAACAATTGCAATAATAGTCTGTAAAGTTGCCCTGTGGCACACACTTAGCATTGTTTCGGCACCGGTTTGGTGTACAGGGATCAAGTTTAGTGTCACAGTTCCTTCCGGTGTACTGCATGTCACACATACAAATGTAGTCGTTAATGAGGTCGCGACACGTGCCATATATACATGGATTGCTACTACACTCATTCACATTAATGTCACAGTTTGTACCTGAAAACAGATAATATAGTGTCACAATTTGAACCTGAAGGGTTACAATATGTAATGTACCTGTAATAACAAATGTTATAATGTATTAAATGTCACAATTAGAACCTTAAATGTCACAATTTGTTCCCCAAATGTCACAATCAGAAACTCAAATGTCACAATTGTACCTCAAATATCACAATTGTACCCTAAATGTCACAAATGAAACTTAAATATCAAAATTTGTATCTCACATATCACAATTGTCCCTCAAATGAATAATTGTAACTAAAATGTCACAGTCAGTACCTCGAATGTCACAATTTTACTTCAAATGTGTCACAAATTGTACCTCAGATAATTCACAAATAACTTCAACATACTCGATAATACCAACATCAGAATAATCTTGTATAAAAGATTATAATAATAGCATGTCCAGTATTAAGATAGTAGTTCATTTATCTAAGATTAAGCCAGTTCCTAACACCAATAAAATCATATTAAAGTTATGTAGTTAAAAGAAAATTCTTGAGACATGAATATAGCAATTCTGTTAATCAGCAGAATCATTACAATGTACATGTATTGTTTTTAACGCTTATTATAATCATTTCCTAAAATTTTCAAGCATTAAGTGAGGCTTGTACCTGTGTATCCCGGTGCACACTGACACTTGTAGTAGCCCAGATTGTTGATGCAAGTACCGGAATGCTGGCACGGGTTGTTTTTACAATGATTAATCTGTTGGTCGCAATTGTAACCTTCGAAGCCAAATTCACAGACGCAGGAGTAAGAATTTACACCATCTTTACACGAGCCTCTGATACAAGGTTGACTGGCACATTCATTGTTGTTGCTAAGGCAATAATCACCATAGTAACCATCTTGGCATTGACAAATAAAACCATTCTCTCGATCTAAGCAGGTTCCACCATTGGCACATGGGTTTGACAAACACTCGTCGATATTTACTTCACAATGGGTTCCCTTAAATCTATAAAATTTCAAAATAGATACATAAATTTTCCATAACCAAGTCCCGTTAGAAAGCAACTAAGACAAGAAGCATCCATTTTCAAACTTTGTTACGTAATGCGTAAAGAATAATTATGAAAACTTGAAATAAATATCACATGCATTGTGAAGTTTCGATTATCAATTCAAAATTAATTTTCCTTTAAATTGAAACAAATATTTATTTTTTGCTTTTTGGGTCCAAAATATTGCAAATTCATTTAGTTTTTCTAAAATTAAGTCTATCTTATGAATTTCTTGAAATGTAAAATATATGTAAACAGTACTAACCCTGCACGGCAGTTGCATGTGTATTCATTTATATGATCGTTACAACGAGCTCCGTTCCTACACGGGTTGCTATTGCAATCATTATGGTTGTACTCGCAATTCCGACCAGTCGTTCCACGCTGGCATTTGCACTCGTATCCATTGATAAAATCAGTGCAGGTTCCGCCATTTTGGCACGGGTCTGAAGCGCACTCGTCAATTTCGGTCTCGCAGATTCGACCAGTGTATCCACCATTACATTTACATGTGTAATCGCCTAGCTGGTCTATACACACCCCGTTATCACACGTGATATTAAAGCATTCGTTTATGTTTGTTTCACAAAGACTTCCTGTCCAACCTATAAAAAAAAGAATATTCAATTTTATAACTGAGGAGGAAAATCTGAAACCATAATGCATAATCCAATCCGAATCCATTTTGACATCTTAACTACTCTGTAAAGGTGACACAAAAATGGAAGCCAAACAAGATTTTGTACATTTCAGCAATTCGGCTGATTAAGGTAGGGGAAAAAAAACAGTTTTAACACCAAATCTTACCATGGACACAGTCACAAATATAGGTGTCAAGTTGTGTTCGGCATACGGCACCATTTTTACAAGGGTCCCCGACGCAGCGGTTTATCTCGTGCTGACACTGTCTACCATCAAAACCAGGCATGCATTCACATCTGTACTGGTTAACCATATCCGTACAAACTCCAGAATTCTGGCACGGATTGCTGTCGCATTCATCAATCTCTTTTTCACAGAATTGTCCTTCGTACCCTGTCAAACATTAAAATTAAACATGTCATAGTCCTATAGGAATAAGAATTACATTATAATTTCATACCCTTAATTAACATTCAGATTTTCATATTTTAGGTTTTATATTTATTGTTTATTGTTTTAATATTCAACAGAAAAACATCCGAAAATGTTAAAATTCGGATATTTAAATGCATTCACATGTGATCTAAGTTTATAGGTGGTTTTTATCCACATGTGGTTTTAATTCAGAGTTGGTCTTGTTTTACAGGTGAACAAAATAATGAAAATATGACTATAATATAACAACACTTGTTAATTTTGTTAAGGAACAGATATATAAAAAAAAAGGCCTGTAGGCCAATAGTGTGCAAGGATTGTGCTTGATAGTTAAATAAAACATATAATAACTTGACAAAAAAATAATTCTAGGATTATCTGCCCTTTTGAAATGGTGTCCATTTATGACAATAAAATTGTTTACCCAGTTTAAAGAGAATAGCTTTAATAGTTTCTGAGAAAATGGACGTTAATAAAAAAAATGTAAACTTTGCCAAGGCTCAGACCAGAAGCCAAGGTCATAAAAAAAGCTTCATTATTTTCCTTTGAAAACTTGTGCTAAAAAACTAGGGTTTAAAAACAATAAGAGCACAAGTCATCTACCTTATGTACATTAGGTTTGGATAAAGTGATATAAATGTTAAATACCCTGGTATTTAAAAGAAAATTTGAGCACCTAACTTTTAAACTGCATGACCTTATTGCCATGAATAAAAACTCTTTGAAAATAAATCTTATTAAAGAATTGACGGCTTAAAATCACCTTACAAAAAACATCTGCGTGAAGTTTTTAGTTGAAAAAGAAAAACCAATATTTCAATATTTACAAATTTTGTGTTCAGTCCAGAGTGTTTAAAATTCAAGAATAAATTTTCTTTGGAAGTATAAAAAAATCTGTTTCTTGAACCAAAAAATTTGTACTAAATTAATCAATTTTTTCAATCTAGTGTATGTTATAAGAGGCCTTCAGGTTCTAAATATAGTAACAGAAACCCAAGCTCTGCACTTGAATAAGTTTTTTGTCTATGTTGTAAGAAGCGAACTTGAAGAAAAACAAAATTTGATATGTAAATCATTACATGAGAACAGTAAAAATTTCTTCTCTAATTATTTGAACCAACTGCGTAGGTCGTGGGAAACAGCCTCCGTCATGGTGAATAGACGAGAAAATAAGTGTTGCCATGGTTACGTATATAAGTGGGGTGACAAAAATCTCTCAAGATGCACAGATTTCATACTCCATTGAGCAGATAGGCCTTTATATACTTCAATCAAATAATTTATCAACACTCAGATTTGAAAATGCCCTTGACAGCTATCACTGGTATTAAAAATTTTTATAGCTAGATGTTGTTTTTTTTTTTGTTGTTGTTAGACACAGCACATGGAGCTAGCATAATAATATTAACGCATTTTATGCACAAAGATCAAGTTGCAATGAAAATTAGAGCTATATAATTATGTAACACAGCTGTTTTTAGTCTACAGCATTTCCATAACAAAGAGAAACTAATTCATTTCTAAAAAAAAAAAACTTTTTAAAGTGCACAGGCATTTTTTTTTCTGGCTTCCCATGAACTGACAAAAATCATCGGAAGATTTTACAATATGTTAGAATTAAAAGAGGCATAAATCATCCCTTTAACCTTGTTATATTGCATTTCTCAATAATATCTAGATTATAAATTGAAGGAAATATTACAGGGAATTCAAAATAAAAATTAAAAAACAAAAATATGATGAAGTGATATCATATATTTCTTTTCTGCTGATATAATAATGTTAGACCCAACTATTCATATCCATTTTCTTTTTATATCAGACATAGCATTTTTAACCAAAAAAAAGCTGAAAATTGAGAACTTTCATAAACAGGTTTGGTGCCAATTTCTATAAATTTCTATTGTAACACCAATTTGACTAAATTTACTTCCAAAAAGCTATAACTGTATCAAACAATGTGATTGGATGGCATCAATACGCCTTAACTGTATCAAACAATGTGATTGGATAGCATAAAATTTCTGTTGTACAGCAAAAATAAAGAAGAGGTAAATTAAAACTGTCTCTTGACAACAGTGTCTAAATCTTCCTGATCAATCTCTCCTTGTAATAAATAGCTTTCCTTTCATGTCTCAATAGTTATCAAAGAGCCGATGGGGCCCTCAGCTTCCATTTTGGTAAAATGTAATCAAGCAAATATTAAATTAACGGGTCCCAAAGCGGGAGGGTCCTTCGGCAGACGACATGTTTTCAGCGCGTTTATCTTGATGAACTTCACAGATTAGCTCTGCACAATGATAGGATTCCCACACTACTGAGTGACCTCTCACCTAGTAAAATCACCTCATTTTCTTTGAAAAGATATATACACACAAAAAAATAGTTCTTGAAATCGTAATCTACCAAATCTCATTCCACACACAATATTAAAAGCCTGTTTTTTTTTTTCAGTCATATTCCCAAATGATCGTATAAAATAAGATTTTATATTTTATAACCGAGAGCAACTGTTCTACTTTAGTTTGTCTGAGATTGTGTTTTAATTTCAATTGATCCAATCATAATAATTTCTTTGAAAAAAAATGAAAATAATAATAACGGAAAAAAAAATCTTTTCTGTCTAGAAAATTATCCGTAATTCTCATAATGCTCACTCAATTCTATAAAGACAGTTTATATATTAAAATGTTACCTACAAGCTATTTTTCCCTTATATATGAGAAATATTCGTTTTCTTTATCTTTGATATTTGTCGTCTGCTGTAAACAGCAATTCATAAATGTTATATACTAACCTGGCATGCAAACACACATAAACTTGTTGATGTCATCAAGACATGTGCCCGAGTTCTGGCAAGGGTTTGAGATGCATTCTCTAATGTTTTCCTCGCAACGTCTTCCAGTGAAGCCACCACGACACGCACACTCAAACGTTCCCGGAAGATTCACACACGTACCACCATGTGCACATAGTTGAAAATCTACATGAAATATGGAACATATTTAATAATTTTTTAATCTATGAATGATTTCATTAACTGATAAATAGAAAATATTCAAGTTTTTTTCTATAAATACAGGATTTATTTTCATCAAGAGGAAAATATGTTTCACTTCAGTGAAAAATACATTTTTACAGTGGAAATACGGAAAATGAAAAGTCGCATTTTCTTTCATTAATATTTCTCAATATTTTGTTTATAAATATATAAATAAAGCAAATTTATATAAACAGAAGTAACCCTAACAAAACAAAAATCATTACACTGTACTTTAAAATCATTATTTCCCTGATCAATAACATAATTATACGGGTGTCACTGGTTCAAGTTATTATCATATTTTTCATACAATTACAATGTACAATATCTCAATGTAATTTCTTTTTAAAATATCCCCTTACAGTAAATTATGTCTTAACTGAATTTCAGAAAATACTATTATATAAGAATATAATGATATTTTACTATAATTATCAATTAACAAACAAAAAAATGATAATTTTCTAAATAATTATCAATTAGCAAACAATATAATGATAATTTACAATAATTATCAATTAACAAACAATATAAGTAATCTAACATTTTCATGGCTGTTTAACTTTAAAATTTTGCTTTAAAGACTGTTATAAGAATATGTATATTAGAAATATTATAAGCCTTGATTTATTATATTATAACGAAAACAAGGAAAACAGTATGTAAATGACAAGTATAGAAAGAATAAGTGTTAAGCCATTTGGCATATTTGCATAATAATGAAAGTAAATATCGCAGACATAATTATAATAAATATAATTGCAGAAATTTTCATGCATGGCATGGCGAGTTAATAGAATTATATTATTTTCCGAGACAAAAATTGGATAAACTTTTGTTCCTCTATGAAAAACAAGAGGAATTATTTAGTCCTTAGTTTATATAATTATATTTATGAAATGGTGAATTCCAAAGGAAAACTACAAATTTTTTCCAAATTATAAGAATAACTTTCATGTCTACTTCCTGATAAAGTACCGATGTCACATGAGTATAAATCGTAACCTTAGTGCAGTAACATGTTAACTCCTATTAAATTATGTAATGAGTTAACCCTTTATTGCAGTAAAGTAATGATATCATCATCAAAGTCTGGTTAATAACAAAAAAAAAGTTCTGTAAACAGGCAAAAACTTTAACCACTTGGCTAATGATACAATTCCTATTGCCTTATATAAACTTCCTAGATAACTTATTATGTATATGTGATTTTCCAGAAAGAATATTCCAGCTCAACGACTATGAAGGGCACTTGAGAATTATTTATAAATTTATAAATTATTTTCAAATAACCATCTGTCACAATGATCTCCAACCATTAATTAATCACCTACCATAAACAATGCTACATTCGTTAATGTCGGTACCGCAATCGTCCCCTTTCCAGCCTGGAGCGCAGGTACATACCGGGGTACCGTCCACAGGTGAAGTTTCACAGCGAGACCCGTTACCTTTACACGGGTTGCTATAGCATGCATCATCCAGATGGCAGCGCAGACCTGAGAAAGAGCAGAAATGATATAAGAGCATGCAAAAGTCAATGACGCAAAAAAGAACAGAAATTATACCATCACATATACAGTCAAACCAGACAGAAAATGAGAGATTTAAATATGATTTCAGGACTCATTGTTCAGCCATCAAAACAGCTAGTGCTTTTACTATTATTGTTCAATTGCCAGCCTTCAATAAGTGTAACTAGCAGTTTTTTTGTTGTTTTTTTTAAAATTTTTTTTGGTATGTTCTTAACCCTTAACCTGCTGAATTTCTGAAATGGCCGTGTACAGCCTCCAGTTTTGGAACCCTGTTAGGCATATTTGCTACATACTGGTGGCACTTTCTGGCAAAAGACTATGGTAATCACTTTTCAGTAGAATAAGGGATACCGTTAGAATAGGTTATGTATGATACTTGTGGGCTTTTTGTGTACCAAATTTATATAAGAAAGTTGCTGTTTTGAAAGAGAGAAAGATATTTCGAGACGCAAAAAGTTCTGCTGCAGATCTGCATTCAGCTAGATATTCTGAAAGAGGCATAGATACAGAGATTTCAATTCTTTCCGAGATAAAAGCCTCATGTCCGAGACAAAAGCCTCATGGCCGAAATTGGTTTATACCTTGGGTGTCCTTTTTATAATACTTTACAGGTTTGTCGTTATAATAGTGTGCATCAAACTCGTCAAAATAATCAGATGTTCCGTGCATTTTATTATCAAGATCAAAACGGTAATCATTTAATTTTGTATCCTCAAGTTGCACTCCTAATGTAAAAACGAAATTTGAATTACATATAATTATGTATCTACATGTGATCTACTTTCAGACTGAAATTATTAAATAAATAATAAGAAAGATTTTTGGTGGAAAAAAATTCAAACAAACTAAATAATTAGGCCTAAGTCAATTATCTCATTTAAACTCTGAATAAATCCGTTACTTCATTCATTAATAAACATAGTTATATATTTTCAACAGCATGAGCTTCACATTTATAACTTTAGAAATTTTAATTTACCTGTTCTTCCAACAGGACAATCGCATGAGAAGTATCCTACACGATCTATACAAGTTCCGCCATTGAAACACGGTTTGTTAATGCAGTCGTCGATATTTTCCTCGCAATGGGTCCCAGTCCATCCGTTTACACATACACACAGAAATCCGCCATTTATATTTTTACACGTTCCTCCATTAAGACAAATCTGTTTCTCGCATTCATCTACATCTTCTTCACAATATGTTCCTAAAACACAAAATATGTAAATGCCTTCAACACATAAACACAAAACATCATATGCCTTTAACACATTAACACAAAAATATGTGTCTCTATTATGAATAATATGCCTGTTATTCATAAAATATCATATATGCCTTTTATACATAAACACAAATGCATTTACAATGTATATATGCTTTTATCATGTTAACACACAAACAATACAATATTACATGATTTTATAGTCCTTTTTACATATAAATGTACATGTATACTCCATATACCTTATCAAATTATAATCATACACAAATAAATTTGCTTTAATTACATGAGTACCAAATATATATATATATATGTATTTATACTGTTAATATACATGTAATATATAATTTACACAATATAATGCCTTATTTATTATATTATCATAATACACTTAGCATATATGGATTGGAATATAATTATGCATATGGAGTATATATTACACATATGTAGTATATTACACACAACAATAAAATTACACGATGGAATGTAATATAATCACTATAATTTTATGTTATCTTACAAGCTAGCTGAGCATACTATTTGTATCTGTTAAAACTTTTATAATGTAAAAATAATTACTGATCAAAGACTTCTCATTAATTTTCTTTGCTCTGTTTGAAAAACAAACATCAAACAGGGTTGAAAATGAAACCAAAACTAAAGGAGTGACAAATAACTCACTGTTTAAGGTAATGGCCAATATTCTTTCATTTTGATAGTTTTAATTCATTCAAAATGTTTGAAGTTGAAGTACTTCGTAATGACCACTTGTTGCCAGTTAAAGCGATGAATAATCTGCCTAACAAGGTAACTGACAGATGGACAATACCAGTGTCACCGAACTGGACAATGGTCCTTAAACGCTGGACTCAGGTAAAACCATAGAGGTAACAGAATGGGGCGAGTTCAATCATCAATTACGATAGCAACGAAACACAGGTGCAAATATCTAACATACTTAAGCTGTAAGCGGAAAGCTGATTATGTTGAGTTTCTGATCATATTGATTTGTTGTTGTTGTTTTTAAATACCAAATCAATCTTTATATACCAACAAGGTCATTAGACAAGACTATCAATATTATGTTATAAATTATCATGAAAGTATATTGTTAGCTTTTTTTCTCAGGTAAAACCATGTCAGTATTTCATATACCACATAAATTATGTAACCACTGTTACCAGTTTTCTCCCTTTACAGGCATTTTTTTTCTTGTGTTGTTTTTTCCTTGTGTCAGGCAATTGGAAAAAACATCACCCATCCATAAATTATCTTGATTACTCTTCAGTCTTCAGCAAGTTTTATTAGTTTGGACAACTTTAACTTGCAACTTAGAGCTTTACAAATTGACCTCCTCCTACCTAGTAATATCACCTATATTGTACTCACCTTTGTGTGTTGGCGGACACTGGCAAGTGTAAGAGTTCACACCATCGATGCATGTGGAACCATTTGTACAATTATGCCCTTTACAATCATCTATATTCACTTCACAGTTCATTCCACGGAACCCTGAAATTAGAAACAAGACAAAATGTAATTTATCTATAAGAGATACGAACAACTTGGCTTTTACACATTAAACTAGTTTTCCAAAGGGGGTCACAAGTCAATTTTTTCTGTGATTTTCTTACTTTTTACATTATTTATATCATAAAAATAAAGGGGTTTTCTATGATGTTTGAGATTCTTTCAACCATTCTGGTTCCACACATGCATGTGGTTACTAGTATGTTGTACAAAACCAACAAGTCATTGAATCTCATTTACACCTGACATATATACGACCCCTAATTGTTATTTTTCTGATTTTCTCATTATCCAATAAAATACTCATTGACAGTACAGAACTGTCCTTTGCAATTGTATGATCTATCCTTCGAAAACCTGTGAGCTGGAACAATATCTGGTGAGAAAGTGTGGCCGATCCCCGGCTCCGTCAGAGTGATCTGTGTCACTGAGACGTTTAACATTGCCATGCAGCTGTTATTGTACGTTAAATTCACCGATGTTTGACAGTAAACAACATTTCCCCCCACCAAGGACATAAAAAAAGTTTAGGTAAACATTGGGGTTTACATTTTACAGAAACATTTATTTTACATCTGACTCCATGAAGTCTGTGAGAGTTTTCATAAACCGTTTTGCATTATTTGCTTTGTTTAAGGTTAAATCAATGTAATAATACCTTTTCAAGAAAATCAAAATATTTCTGCACTATAAAAACTGAAGTATTGCAATATACGTTTAACTAAAAAGAAAATAGAACAAAAATGAATAAATTCTAACAAAATTTTGACAAGCATGAATGGCCAAGTATTTATAGCAAGCCAAAGGCCTTTCTTGAAAATGTCTAAAAATAGGCATTTCATTGTAACTTATGACTTACAAAAAAAGATGCTGAATAAATATACATGTATATTCTGGGTGCAAGTTCACAATCATGTTATATAAAGAAGAAAACCCTGCGAAATGAGCGCTATTTTTGTGAAGTAATTTTCAATTAATAATATCCGTAAATCACTCAAAACTCTTGTAAAGGCTCCTATTGCCAACCAAAATACGTACTAGGGCTCATATTGCCAACCATATACATACAAGAATAGAATTGCATGTGGACATGATCGACTCAACGACTTCAAAATTCACCTAGAAACCTACTGACATATTCTTACGCCCAGTTCAACTACGGACTGTTTCAAGTGTGAAATTTTATACACTCCTTAATACAATCAGGAACCTGCACTTAAGGTTTAATATCACAATAATTACTCTATCATTATGCCACAATTCAGAAAACTGTGAATGTCATATGAAATACCCCTGGCAGAACTACTTTCATGCGAAGTAAAGTGAAATGTGGACGTGTACTATGTAATGTTCAAATCTTTGGTGTGGCAGCATAGCCGAGTGGTTTACGTGTCAGACTAGTAATCTAATGATCGCTGGCCGCATGGGTTCAAACCCCGTCAGGGGCTAGTCGTAGGTTTCCTTGAGCAAGAATCTTTATTATTTACACTTATCATACAGTACTGGTCGGTTCCAGGAACAGATTCGAAAGTGTTTCTTTAACCTTATACCTTCCTACACAATCTAACTAAAAATAAATTTTGTATAAAAATAAGTGAATTCTCAAATGAACATACTGTATTTTTTGCTAAATGCTTGAACAACAATAAAAAGATGGTGAAACGCATCAATGTCATGGGTATCTAATCGAACTAAATCTTGATTAAAGGCACATTATATCTCAGAGATACATAAAATTATACTTCTTGAGAAAGGGTAAACATGAGTTTTGTAATGTTTAAATAATATAATGATTAAATAATGATTTTAGAGCATATTAGATGCTTATCAATTCAAGAAAGTAGGGCTGAATGTGAAATTATTTGTCCTAAAAAAAGCAAAATATAAACCAAGTAGTATTTAGAATTCATTACAAAACAACATTACTATACATGTATAACAGTACTAACTGCCAAAAGACAAAAGAAGCAAATGATGGTTCAGGTAAATAGCGAATGGGTAACATAACAGAACACCAAAAATAACAAGCTTTTTAAAAAATAAAAAATAATGGGGGAATGGGGAATAATATTGATACATCATAAAAGCACCAGTACAAATGTATTTGACAACAACTCTACAGCTAATTATGCCAACTTTTTAGCCTCTGAACCAAAGTATTTATGTGTCAAGTATACCTAAATACTTTGGTTCAGAGGCTATACTAAAATGGACCAAATATGAAAATGGCATTTCATCTTAATTAAGTCAGCAACTTCATGTTTTTTCCCACTGAATTATTCAAACATCTGGAAAAATGAGTACAGTGTATATATTTCTGTAAACATTAACATCTGTTCAAGTTACTAATTGTTTAACCATTTTTGTTGCCATATTAACACCAATTAATGCAATACCATTACAACTTTATTCGTATCACTTGATACTGACATCAAGTACCGTCAAAATCCACTGGCGTAACTATGACCTTTGGTGGGGACATCATAAGCTTATTTCTGTGGGAACGCAAGACAATTTCCCTATTAAACTCCATGTTTTCTAAGTGGTTTGGCCTAAACATAGGAAATTGAGACCAATTATAAACAATTTCTTCACTATAATTTCTCGAAACTTAACCAATTTTGTCAGTCAATCCCGCCCGGTCATCTCCGTTCACTTGCGACAGAGACAGCGTTGTCAAAATTGAAATAAATTATAGTAACTACAAAATCACCGTAGATGCACTTGAACGATTGCATGCCAAAAGCTGCGGTGAAACACTTATACATACAGTGACCTCTGAACTCCTTAGTTACAATTGTTCATGGAAATACATAAACTAGGATAGTAGAGGAGAATAATAAAATGTTATAATTGCAAGTTTCAAATGAAAGTGAAAGCATTTTATCCAGTTTTTGTATGAAAATTAAGATCAAAGAATCATTTCCATGAAACGAGCCTTTGAAAATATTCAATTTCACCTATGAAGGTACAGCGTTAAAGATGATTTTCAAATCATGGACGCTTTACAATGAAGATGCAAAACTTTAAGTAAAACTTTTCCTGATTTGTTTTTATATTGATCAATTACAATTCAACTTTTAGGTTAAACATTGTCTCATCATGTCTGTGACATTTACATGTAATTGATACAAATCCCATCCTTATGAATTCTTATAAAATGATTATTTAAATCATTAGAATTTTAATTATTCTGTATTAATTTTATCATCGAGATATTTTTTCTTACAATTTTATGTATATCAAACTGTTTGCAAACTTTTTATTGTTTCTAAATATGGAATGCACTTAAAAAAAATCAAAGACACATACAATGCATGTGTCTTTGAAATCGAGACATTCTGACTGCCTTAGTCACTTCTAAAAAGACAGAAGCAATCCAAATGGACTCGGCACTTTGAGAGATCAACTTTAACTGTCTGTAATCTCGTAATCTCATTTCCTTCTATTGTATTAAAGGTCCACTTTGATAAAGAGGTCAAATGGATTAGAGATTATATTGACAAAGTTTAAGCTAGAGTAACATTTATAGAAATGGTGGCTATTTATCTTAAAGAGATTAGAGATTAAAAATTCCATCACTGTGAATCAGGCCATATTAAGCCTTACATTAATGGATATCAAACACCTTGCTGATCTTTTTATCAGATTTAATAATGTTAAAGATTTTTCAAAAATATTTTGAAAATATACTCTCTATATATCAAAGCCTTTGTAATAACCTCACAGTCAAAGTGATTCAAAACAAAGAAACAATCAAAGCAAAATTTTACAAGTTCCTGTGTTAAGTAATTAATTTTAATGTATAAAATATACGTTTTATGATGTTTTCGTGTTAACTGCTTTTAAAATATACAGTAAAATGTTTCGTACAACCATTACACTGTAATCTTTCTAATCCATAAATTAATCTCATTTCAAGTTTATAAAGAAGTTGTTTTTGACAGACATTCGGTCTAAAGTATTTAAGATCAATTCATTTGATCAAATTGGCTTTTCATCGATAATCTGTTTACGCTAGGTCAAACACAATAATCTAACATATCGGCAGCAATCAAGGTGTAGTATTAATCTAAATTGGTAAGTTTACCCATCATAAAAGGCTAAACACTTGAAGATATACAGGGAACAGGTAAAACAGCGCAGACAAACTTATGATGTTTATTATGAAATATATAGAAAAAGGTTACAAGAGGTGATATGAGGTAGAAGATATAGAATAAACAGCATGACCCAGGATAAATTAATCAAAATTTTACAATCATATAACGAAGCGGCCAAAAATGTTACAATAAGATCACAGACAACAAGTTAATGCTACATTTAAAATTAAATGATCAAAATCTGAGTATTCAAATGCATACTTCTGACAGAACTGGGCACCTTCAGTTAGAATGAAAATACACCATCAGCATCTCGCAACCAATAAAATTACCATATATGTACTTGTTTATTTTACTGGATTTTAGGCTTCTTACTGGTAGATTCGATTTTCTGCGATCAATTGTCATCAAAGAATGATGACTGCCAAATAACGTTAGGGTCAAAATATAAAAAAAAAATTCTAATGATAGAATAGGGTAGAACACATCTTATTGAGCACAATGAACACATTTATTTTTTAAATCAAACAATGAAAAGAATACTAAACTGCAAATAAATACTTTCAGAAAAGGCGTGTCCAGTCAGCAGGTAAACATGATTAAATCATTAACCTCGTCAAGAAATAATATTAGGACAAGATTACATAATAAGGTGACGAAAACCATATCCGAGTGTATCTAAAATGAAGAAAAACGTTTGTTTCTTTCTTTCACACGCAATATCCTGAAAGAAGAATTTTGGACAAAGGGAGATTTTAAGAAGCAACACGTTTTAGATACTGTTGAATGGATGTCAATACGGGCCTTATTTAAGAAAAACTCTTTCTCGATACTACTTCAACACGACCAGAGAGTATGCTCATTGTGTCGTACCTCGAG